GATAAGAAATAAGTTCTAAGACCTATAACTAATTAAGGAGGTTTAATCATATCATTCAGTTTTCTAAGTTAAAAATTTCGGCCCTTGCTACTAAATACAATATTTTCAAATTTACATATAATTTTAATTCTACATCAAATTTTCTAGAAACATAAGGAGTATCTTTATAAGATCTATCCGTTATGGGTTTTATATGTAAAGAGTTTGTTTAACTTGATTGAAATTAAATGTCTAATAATTTAAAATTTAATTTTATTCTCTAAATTATTAGAAATCAATCACAACCTGCCAATAATTTTATTTTAAAAAATTAATATTTATTTAAAATAACTATATATATCTTAGTTTTTAAATTTTTTACTTTATCTTTTTTATTTTATGATTGTATTAATTAAAATATTTTATTAGTTAATGAGCAAGGTAGTATTTGCAGTGAATCCCTTGTTATGCAGTCATGCATATAGATTATCTATAACAACACAATACATTAAATTTCAAATTTTAATTTTAAAGATTTTTTAAATTTTAGATTATCTCATTTAAATTTTAAAGATTTTTCAAACATAAATAATTATTTAAATAAAAATTTATATACCCCAACTAAATTGCTTAAAATTTGAAATAATAATAATAATAATAATAATATAATAATAATAAATAATAATAATATTAAAAATATTTAAATGAAATAATAATAATAATAATAATAATATTAAAATATTATGATATATATTTATACAATTGAAAACGTATATATATGGATGACATCTCTTTATCTTTTTATTTTATAATATTACATAAGCTTACATAAAGTGTGTATGTTAACTTTTTATTTTTTACATGAAATTTTTTTTCTTGATTTTTTTTTTTACAACTTTCTTAAATATAGAATTTTTTTACAAAAATTAATTGATAATTCATATTATGTAAAACTTCCGTACTATATGAATCTCAAAATCTTACAATATTTTAGAATAAATCAAAATCTTATAATATTTGAATCTAGATTTTGCTCTTAATTTATATTTTAGAATTTTTTAAATGGAAATCTTATGTTATTTATTCCATAATAATTATTTTTATTATTTCATTTATAAATTTTGAGATTGTAATTAAGTGAATTATAATTAAAGTTTCAGCAAAATTTTTTTATTTCACATATCTTTTATTATTCCTATAATTTTCTTTTTAAGAAAGTTGTCATTCACAAAATTTAATCTCTTAATTTAACATTTACAAATATTATATATATAATTTAAAAATTGAAGGGAAAAAAATAATCGAGTCATGACAGTTTTCATGACACTTGCTCTAACAAGTGTGTGTGTGTCTATATACACTTGCTTCTTAACAAGTGTGTGTGTGTCTAATATATATATATATATATTATATTATATATTAATATATAAAGTAAAATTTTTTGATGTTAAATAATTATTCTTAAAAATTTTTGATGTTAAATAATTATTCTATTGTTAAATATATAATATTTGTCACAAATATTATATATACATGGTGTTAAATATAGAGCGTATAAATTTATATTTATATATAAATTTACTATCTCTGTTCTATATATAAACGTGACAAATATTTTGAAACAAACTATTTTCTTAAATGTGACAAATATTATGGAGCAGAGATAGTATTTGATTTGAAATAATGTTGATACAAAAATACATGATATAGTTGTTTGAAATTTGATGTAGTCATATTCAATTCCTGGAATTGAATTCCTAAAATTGAAAATCTACATTTTTTTCATTCCAAACATAAAAATATAGATTTCTAAATGAATTCCATAAAACTTTTTGAAATTCATTTATTTCAAACAGGAAGTAAGTAAAATTTTATAAATTCTACTTTGACCAATTGTACATTTTGGCTTATAAATTTCACCGCTGAATACTTCAATTTGCAAATTGTTAAATATTATAAATTTTAAATTTAGATCAATTAAATATTTATTAAATAACTGAAAAAAATGTGAAAATTATTATTCTAAAACGTATGAAAGAATTTCAAAATGTAAGCTAATGGAATCGACAGCTGATTAGAACTCCAATTAGTTGTCAATTGTTGATTAAAACGTGTACCAAACACCTAGAACTTAGTTATTGGGTATGAAATCAACCATCTAGGGTTGCACATGAGCCGTTGTTACCTGACCCAATCCGAGTGACCCAACCCAACACGACAGGTTTGAAGACATAATGGTTTGGGTCTCAACCCATAAATAATATATGTATGTGCAATTATAAATTATTTAGCTAATTTGATTTGATTTATAGTTTTGAATATAAATACTAAATTATTTACATATATAGTAGATATTGACTTTTAAATCATTGTTTTTTTTTCTTTAGTATAAACCTGTTAGCTATTGCCGCTATTGGAATCTATTGTAATTTATTGTTATTAAGTATTTTTAATTTTACTGGTTGTCTTTTATTAAAAAATTTAATTTTTCATTGTTGATTATGATTATTATGATGATAATAATGATCATGTTAAAACATTTAATTTTAATATTATTATTGAAATATACTTGTAGTTTGTGAAAATTATTGTATTTAAATTTCTAAATATATTTAATTTTCTTAGTAATTTTCTTTTAACTAGTTGTATTTTATTTAAAAATAATTTTATTATTATCATTTATTTAACATGCGGTTTACATTAAATTTATACCCAATCCAACCCGTTTATACCCTGCGGATTCACGCATTTAATGGGTTGGGTTGAGTAAAAAAATTTTTGACACGCACGTATGGGTTAGGTACTTTAAATCAATAAATCCGACCCAATCCGACCACGTGCAGCCCTACAATTATCACCTGCATGAATTACCTGAACCAAACGCCCTCTAAGCCAGTAAGATTTTAGGTTGGTTTAGTGTTTAGAAAATTCAATTGTAATTCACTATTGACAGAAAGTATATGTTTTTTAAATTTATATATTGACTAATCGAATTCTTTTAGGTCCAAAAAATGGTCAAAATTATTTCAAAAAATCAAATTAAAAATTGAGCTGAATTGATTTAATTACGTAAGAGTCTTTTCTTCTTTGAAAAGATTCAATTAGTGATGCGTCCCACATCGCCCGCGGAGTACATCCTGGGCTAGTGTATAAGGCTGGGTTCAGTTCTTCCCCTACGAGCTAGCTTTTGGGGCGAAGTTAGGGGTCCAGATCCTTATCATTTGGTATCAGAGCTCTGGCTTCGTGGGGTCGGTGTCTCATGGGGTTCGTCATCAGAGCTCTGGCTTCGTGGGGGTCGGTGTCTCAATGGGGTTCGTCAGAACGCCGACTGAGGCCAGTCAGGTCTTAATGGGGGTGGGGATTGATGCGTCCCACATCGCCCCTGCGGAAGTACATCCTGGGCTAGTGTATAAGGCATGGATTCAGTCTTTCACCTAACAAGCTAGCTTTTGGGGTGAAGGTTAGGGGTCCAGATCCTTATCATTTAGACTAAATGCGGACCAATTTTGAATGCTTATATACACATCGCCCGCGGAGTACATCCTGGGCTAGTGTATAAGGCTGGATTCAGTCTTTCCCCTACAAGCTAGCTTTTGGGGTGAAGTTAGGGGTCCAGATCCTTATCAATTAGACTAAATCGGACCAATTTTGAATGCTTATATAGTTGGAATATCATACACTTAACACTTTGCTATTTATATAATAAACTAGTTGTAATTCTGCGCTTTGCGCGTGAGTATTAATAAATTGTTTGAAACTTAATCGGAAGGGTTTTTGAGAAAAGAAATTAAAATAATAATAAATTATGAAAAAATTGGAATAGAAAGATCTTAGTGTCAATCTCTGAGATAACCTGCTACTTGTAGCTAAGGTAGATCAAGGCCAGGACCCAAGTTCAGTTGAACTAAACCATGTTGACTTTTGGGTGCAAGTACACAAGATCCCAACTGGGATGGTGTCTGAGAACTTTGGAAAGCAGATTGGGAACTTCATTGGCCAGTATGTATCCTATGACCAATCAAACAATACGGTTGCGTCTCGGAGGTACATAAGAATCAGGACTACGGTGGATGTTCGCCAGCCCCTCAAGAGGTGGAAGAAGTTCAGGAATAAAGATGGGACTATTTTTCAGGTTGAATTCATGTATGAGAAATTGACAACTCTATGCTTTATCTGTGGCCATCTTGGGCATTCCGAAATGGTGTGTGAGTCCCTTTTTTCTACACTGGAGGAGGAGATTGTGTGAGGCTGGGGGCCATGGCTGCGAGCTCCTATGCGACAGATGGGCTGGGCCTCCTATGACAATCGGTGGCTGCATGACCAGCATGGAAATCTTTTGGACCCGAGACCTACGGTTCAAACGAAGACTTCAGACATGACAGGAACACAAGATCATGGGAAAGTTGTATTGGTGGACCCGATTAGAACTAGATTGGATCCAACTGATCTTGAAGATTGTATTTCACACACTATGGGGGGAAACAAGCGGGCCAGACATGCAGATACTCTTCACGTGGTAAATTTAACAACTCAAACCCAAAACGGTATTGATTCCTTACCACCTTCTGCTTCAGCCATGCAAATTGATGCAAATGTACACAGCAGTGATAGCATCTTTACTTAGTACCTCAGTTAAAGCGGCGAGCCCTAGTACTCAAGGCCGCCGAGAGCCATGACGTTCCTATGTTGGAACTGCCGAGGGATGGGCAACCCTCGAGCAGTGAGTGTTCTAAAGGATCTTATTCGTGCCAATAAGCCCATGTTCTGCTTCCTTATGGAGACAAAAGTAGCTTCCTCTTATGTTAAAAACTTAAGTTTGCAGTGTGGTGACAAAAGTAGCTTCCTCTTATGTTAAAAACTTAAGTTTGCAGTGTGGTTTTTCCTCTTCTTTTTCAGTTGATTGTCTTGGTCGAAGTGGTGGTTTAGCTATCTTTTGGAATAATAATTTGAATGTTGATCTTTATTCTTACTCCCCAAATCACATTGATATGCAAATAACTTAGGGACCACATACTTGGCGAATGACATGTGTATATGGGTTCCTTGAACACCATAGGAAGCCAGACACTTGGACTCTCCTTAAAACTCTAGCTAGTCAGCACAACCTTCCTTGGCTTCTAATGGGTGACTTTAATAACCTACTTGCAGATGATGAGAAGATAGGGGGCCACCCTTATGAGCTACGTAATCATGAGGGATTTCGAGAAGTGCTGGAGGTGTGTCGGGTCTCCGATCTCGGTATGGTAGGGTATCCATTTACATGGCGGTCTGGTAGGGGACGTAACAAAATTGAGGAAAGATTGGACCAAATGGTGGCTTCAGATACATGGCCTCGCTTTTTCCCAAATGCTACGGTTCACAATTTAATTAGTGGCACATCGGACCATTCTCCATTATTGCTTTTATTGGGCACTGACCTAAGGACTAAAAGACATATTAGCTTTATGTTTGAAAATGCATGGATTGGGGAGCCTAACCTTGATGAGACTGTTACTCATAATTGGGCCCGTGGAGCCCACGGTGATGTAATGGGTAAACTGCAAGCATGCAGATCTGGGTTGCGAATTTGGGGACGTGACTTACATAGTAAGTTCCTTAAAGATATTAAATTGCTTAAAACCCGACTTAATGGCTTTCGAGTCCACCAGTGCAGTGACAATTCAGAGTATTTTTTACTACAAAAGCAGCTTGGTGATTTGCTTCTTAAAGAAGAGCAGTATTGGAAACAACGATAAAAAATATTCTGGCTTGCTCATGGGGATAAAAATACCAGGTACTTTCACTCCTCAGTTTCCTCACGTAAAAAATTAAACTATCTTCCAGGTATCTGGGACTCGAGAGGTGACTGGAAGGAAGAACTGAGGGATATGCATATTGTGTTCCTAGAATACTTCACTACACTATTTATGGCCACACCTATCCAGTCTAGTCCTGTTCTTGAGCATGTTAATTCTCGGGTCTCTGAAACTGATAATGATAATCTTATGGCCCCTTTCCTTGATGACGAGTTTCGATCGGTGGTATTTCAAATGCACCCGGACAAAAGTCCTGGCCCTGATGGGTTCAATCCGTGTTCTTTCAGAAATTTTGGTCAGTTGTGGGTTCAGATGTTACTACTAGCTGTAAACGGTGGATTGCACACGGCTCTTTTCCTAATCTGGTGAACGAGACAACCTTAGTGCTAATTCCAAAAATTGATAAACCTGAATTTGTGGAAGATCTGTGGCCAATTTCCCTATGTAATGTTTTATATAAGATTGTGGCAAAGGTCTTAGCTAATCGGATGAAGCATGTCCTACGGAAAATTGTCTCCCCATCCCAGTCCACTTTTGTACCTGCGAGACTGTGAATACTCAAATTTTGAGGCTCTAAAAGCCAGTTTTTCCGGCCGCGGCGATGGCGGCCGCCCTTAAAGGCGGCGGTAGCAGAACCGAGGGATATGCGTAATGTGTTTCTAGAATACTTCACTACACTATTTACGGCCACACCTGTCCAGTCTAGTCCTGTTCTTGAGCATGTTGATTCTTGGGTCACTGAATCTGATAATGACAATCTTATGGCCCCTTTTCTTGATGAGGAGTTTCGATCGGCGATATTTCAAATGCACCCGGACAAGAGTCCTGGCCCTGATGGGTTCAACCCATGTTTCTTTCAGAAATTTTGGTCAGTTGTGGGTTCAGATGTTACTACTAGCTGTAAACGGTGGATTACACACGGCTCTTTTCCTAATCTGGTGAATGAGACCAACATTGTGCTAATTCCAAAAATTGATAAACCTGAATTTGTGAAAGATCTGCGGCCAATTTCCCTATGTAATGTCTTATATAAGATTGTGGCAAAGGTCTTAGCTAATAGGATGAAGCATGTCCTGAGGAAAATTGTCTCCCCATCTATGTCTGCTTTTGTACCTGGGAGGCTAATTACGGACAATGTAATTCTTGCCTTTGAAACAATACATTCTATGAAAACCGTGGGAGGAGTCAAGAACAAACAACGGCTCTGAAGATTGATATTAGTAAGGCATATGATCGAGTTGACTGGTCCTATTTAGAAGCTATAATGACAAGACTTGGGTTCTGTTCCGAATTCATTCAGTTGATTATGATGTGTGTTACATCGGTCAGGTTAGAAAGCTATATTCGGATGATCAGAGGGAGTGGGTTCCTGAATTGGTGGGCTTTCGATATTCATGGAATTCACAGTTTGGTTATTTTCTATGATGTGTGTTAACACAGCCTGGAGGCTTTCGGGTCACACGCTTCCGTCCACTTTATGGGTAATGTTAAATGGTGAAAGCGTGTTTGGTCCTATTACTCAAAGGACCAATCCATCTCGTGGGTTTGAGCATACGGCCTGGCCTTTCTTCCTCATACTCCGGATTCTATCTCTCTTCTTGTTATTCTGAAATCATCAGTTGTTCTGAGGGGCTTTCGACTTTATTTATGCCCACCATCGCTAGGAGGGCTTAAGGTCCTCAGTGGGGATCTAATTCCACATCTGGGGGGTGGAATGAATCATTTTGTCTTGGTAGCAGCTACTCCACTAATATGCACCGAGGTTGTTCGTACGATTTTTATTTCCTAAAGCTGATTCCAGTGATGGATCTCAACGTCCCTGTTTTTCTCTTAAATGCCATACATAAGCAATGTGAAAGAAAGCTGGACAAGGCTGCAAGTTTGCACAATATCTAGTCTGTTTTTCTTTAAAGCTAAAGCAGAAGAAGCTACAGCGGTTGCACATATCTTAAAACAGTACGAAGCAGCATCAGGACAGGGTGTGAGTTTGCAAAAATCGGGGATTTTTTTCAGCTCTAATGTGGAAGTCTCGGTTAAAGAGCAGATTATCAATATTTTGCAAGTCTCTCAACCCTTAAACCATGGCAGATACCTAGGACTTCCTTCCCTAGTTGGACGAAACAAGAAGGCGATCTTCTCCTTTCTTCAAGATAGATTGAGAAAGACCATTTCTCGATGGAGCCATAGACTCCTTTCTAAGGCGGGAAAGGAAGTAATGATTAAAACTGTAGCTCAGGCGATTCCATCCTACTGCATGAGTACTTTCCTTCTCCCTACTTTCCTTCTACCCTAAACTTACACTTCTGTGGCACTGACACATGGCAAATAAGAATAGCCTCAAATATGGGTATTAACTAATGGTTTTGGGAGTTGGGAGTACAGCTTAAGCTGAGTGGGTCCGATAGTCTAGCGACCCTATTCCATATTAGAGTATTACATAAACCCCAAAACCTATATAATATTTTTCCTGTGCTCTTCTGAATATTTTGGGTTTTAATTTTCATTATATTTGAAATTATCTATTTTTAGCCTTGGGAAATGGCCTTGGTAAAGGGATAGACCAAACAGCAAGGGTAAATACCAAAAAGAAATATTGGGCAAAGCCGATATTAATTAGTGTGTGAGGGAAGATGAGAAAGAACATCAATGGAGAAGGCACGGTCTTCAAAGAAATCCACTATGAGGCATTCAACATGATACAGAAATCTCATTCTAGGCATTACCTTTACCCTTTAGTTACTGTGTAGTCGCCAGCACGCTCAATATGCCCACGTAGATATGCTGTGAGAGGACAAGTATTTTGGCGACTTGTCGAGCGAGAGCACCTCGAAGATAACATACGGTCTTTCTATGTTCAAGAGTGAAGTAGCAATAATTTTCTCACCGGAGGGGGGGAGGTATAGCTATTATGGAATTGCTCCTCCTGGGAGCTACGCAGTCAATCCCAGCCTTATATGGAGGAGCCCAATGACCGTTTTCAGGGGCTATAGTTCACTTTCTCAAAAGAGGTAATAGATGTTGAGAATTGGCAACGGTTCAAGTGTTAACATTTGGAATGACCCGTGGAGGGTTACCTAAATGCATACATATCCCGCGGAGTGATTCTGAGGCGCGGCCACTGTTTAATGCGCCACTGTAGCCCTGTTGTCCCTGGTTCTGAGAACACGTCAGTTGGAAATCTAAGGATGTTTAATGGTTGGAATGTGGATTTAATTGCCGGACTGTTCCTTCCAAAGGAGGTGTCACAGGTTCTATCCATCCCGTTTTCTCGGGCTACCCAGGTAGATACACTAATATGGAACTTCTCTACTTCAGGGGAATATCTTGTTAAATCAGGCTACAAACTTGTCCTGCCAAATTTCGTGGAACCTGAAGCAACTGCAACTTTGCCAATTTGGACTAAATTATGGCAATTAGATTCCCCACCGAAGGTTAAGCACTGGCTGTGGCGAGTGTGTCGTAATATTCTACCAACGAAATCTATACTATTTGGCAAGCGAATTACAGAGGATGACCATTGCCCTTTTTGCGGCAAAATAGAGACAACAATGCACATGTTATTCCTGTGTGAGCAAGCTCGACTTTGTTGGACATTAATAGGGATTCCGTTGGATGGATCAGCCACTAGTTTCAGTGATACTCTATTGGGGTTTATTGATCGGCGTAATGATGATCACTGCTTGTTATTCGGTGTATTGTGCTACTTTATCTAGTTTGACAGAAACCGGCGGGTTTGGCAACAAACTAATATTGCTCCTTACAACATTGTTATGGCAGCTACCAGCTTTCTTAGAGAATGGAAGAATGCACAGATTGATCGAAGCAATTCCTCTGTATCGTCGGCTTCAGTTCCGACATGGGCTCCTCCTCCAAGCCACCTAGTCTTTCTCAAGAGCTGAGGTATTCGAGCGTCTAGGTTGGGCGGTTTGAAATTGAATCGGCGTAAATGATGGGGACTACCACAGGTTTCTGCTTAGTTAATTCGGTCGCAGTTTGATGCTACTATTGGAAACTCTTAGTTTGGGCATCTCAGAAACCTGAGTGCCGGGTTTGGCAAAGGATCTAATTGGAGGGTTGCTAAGACGCCTTACACAACGATTGTGTTTTATGGCAAGCTACGCAGTTTACTAAGAGGATTACATATGGAGAGAGAATGCACATGTATATAAGAATGGCGAAAGCCGCATATTTTCTTCTGTACTCGTTCAGCATCTTCTCTTTTTCCATGTTTACCTCCGACAATGCCGGCGTGCGGGCGTCCTTCCCGACTCGGCGGTTTCGTAACTACGTGTAAGACGCCCTATGGGTTGCCATTCGTCAGCTGTCCATATGACTGAGGGTCCGAATATGCATCGGGTATGCTTCATGTTGCCCTTCCGCATCGCAGAAAAAGTTGACAGAGTCATGGAGGGCAGTTCTTATGGTAGTCTGCCACCCGGGTCATTTTGTCCAGGGTGGTGCTAAACCTCACATCGTCTATCACTGGGGAAGGCCATTTCGGCCTAGGTGAGGTTTCATTTTAATCTTATGGGTTCGCTTCAACGAGAGGTCTATTAGGTAAGGGTTGTTAGTGGAAACCCAAATTGGCCAACCTGACTACTGTTTCTCATTTAGCTAGTTAACTACTAGTTGGTATAGACCTTTTTCTTTTTCCGAGCCTTGCGCGCACCAGTGCTAAGAAGATGAATTAAACAACACTTGCTTTACTCAATACCATCTTCATGTGAAGTTGGTTTAGGGGTGGGTTACGGAGGCAAGGTAACAAATCATTGGGTACATGCTCTTGCTCGTATCGGCAATGTTTTACATCCTTGTTTTCCGTCTAATGGACTCGACTCTCATTTTTACATTGACAGAGATGGGTTTTTTATTATTGGTCACGGGGAGAATTCGATTCGAGGGAGCTGCTTTTTTCTATACATGACAGGTATGGGTATTGAAATATCAGGGGGTAATTGGCCGGTCTCAAGGGTTAACCTCAAGAGAAGGCCTGGCCCTTTGGCTCTTTTGAGTGCTGACTGTAGGTCAATCCCTCCTTGTAACCGGGTGATATATAACTTTGGTCTTCATAGGATGGATAAACTTTGACCTTTTGTGTAGGCATATGATATGGAAGGGTACATATATATGAGTCCTTTTGGTGTAGAATGTATCACATCTTGGTACGGACTTTCAAAAAATACCCAAGAGTGCAGATTGAAATGCTATTCGGTACACTTTAAGACAATTCATACACCTTTGTTGGAATACGGAAACTCTTTCCATCAACTTTTGGAACATCCGCTGAGCCGCCGACTATGTTTCTTCTTACAATAAGCAGGTAAGTCGATAACCTTAAGCCCCAGCTCTTCCACTCCAGAGATGCTTGTCTCATAATCAGGGCGTTTCAGCCACTATCTGAGTCTGAGGGAAGTGAAAAGTTCAGTTTTCCTATTCTTCCTTCCAACCTTCTAGACAGCGGGCTAGCTCTCAGTAGAGGGTGACAGACGTTAGATGGCTTCCTTGACTCGGGATGCCTAATTAGTCAAAAATGAAACCCATGGGCAGGAAAATAGACGTTTTGGTCTTATTGATATAGTACATACCTAGATACTAGCTATTGTTTCGTGGCTGCCATCCATATTTAGTGGAGTTTTCGTCAGAGGACGAGGTCTACTATGGTTTATTATGTGATTTAGGTGAGTAGAGTGAGAGGTCACACATTAAAGCATATGTACTGGCTATATCTTCCACACCGGTGTTTTTGAAGGTTGAAAATCAAAGTGCTTTGTGCATAAGCAACTCTTGGGGATGAGGAAGGAATGGGCTGCTATTAGATACCAGTTCCTCAGATTTGATAATTTATTACCTTCTAAATCAGGAAGCTGTGTATGTCTTATTTTAAACTATGTGTGCCATGTCCAGAATGTACCTCCTGTTTATATACATAAATACGAGGAGTCTTTATACTTTAAGCTCTCCTCTGCCTTTCTGGATAAAGGGCTTGTTTGGTTTTAATCCAAGTAAACTAAGTGGTTGTTTCATTATTTGGGGTTCGGTCGCCCCGCTCCTGGTTATAGAGCATCAAAGCTCTTTCGGGTCTCGGTCGTTTCGATAGGATGCGCGCATCCCAGGACAACAACAGATAATTGATATCACACCGCTCTAGGACAGTTCGAGGAAGGGCGACCAGTCTATCCTGGTCCGCAGGCAGTATTTCCATTGATAG